AGTGTTTTTTGCTGGGAGGCTTTGTGTGAGGGAAAATCGTGTTAGTTTTACGCGACACTCATGTGAGAGCGTCACACGAATGAGTCATCGCATTGCGTCTGAGCGAAACAGATGCTAAAGAAAACAGAGAGTGACGCTCAGAGAGAGACGTGTCTGCACAATTTTTTTTGGTTATGATGAGAATAAACGAAAAAACGCTCAACTCTCATTTGCAAGCTCTGATTTTAGGCTAAGACATTTATGGAATACGGAGAGCATACGCTGTCCAGAACTCAAACCAAAGAGTACATGTCTTTTAATTAAAAACGTTGTTTACATGGCGACCGTGACAAGTGTAACTTTTGTGCATTTTACGTGGTTGCATACCTTTTGGCTGTTCGAGGCGGACAAGATGGCCCCGCCAATGAAGATCTAAAGAAAATTCTCAACTCTGTCGATATGGATATCAAGGAGCTGAAGGGCAAAAGCATAGACTATCTGATCAAAGAGAATCGTGAGCAGCTATCATCGATGCCCGTTGGTGGTGTAGATGACGTCATGAGCTTCGCCCTCTTCGAATAAGCCAACTTCCTTTAACATTCGTATGTACTAAACATACGAAAATCAACAGCAGCAACAGCGACAGCAGCAATAACAACAGCAAAAACAACAACAGCGACAGCAGCAACAGCAACAACAACAAACCAGAATAATAACAACAGCAATGATCCGCAGCAACAGTGGACAAATTCATATCTACGAAAAAAAAGCCTGTGCGAAACCTGCACCGGCCACGCCCAGCGCGCCAAGCTGGGCCCTGAAACCGACAGCGCTACTTAGGGCTCACAAATAAATAAATAAATAAATTTTAACAAAAACCGAAATTGTATAAATAAAGGTATAGGAGATATATTTTTATAACTGGTTTTCGATAACGTTTTTTATCGATAAAAAAATAACGGAATGAGTTACTTTTTTTTAGTGATAAACTCGAAATCCGCACTGTAAATACGGACATTTTTTTTTTATTTGAAATCTCTAGCTCTTATATTTTCTGAAATCGACGCGTTCATACATACGGACAGACGGACAGACAGACGGGCAGGGCCCATTGAAAATGGGTTCAGGGTATAAAATAAAAAAAAATTGTAAGAATATATAATATTTGTTTTAAGAATACAACATAGCATATAAAGATATAAATACACAAAAAAAAATGTTTTTTATTTTAACTACATTATATTACGTTATTTTTTTAAAAAAGGGAGGTGTAGCATGTTGCATGTCGTATAAGCATATGCTCACAGTATTGTAGGGTATACAATATATCAATGTAGACATATGGCCAACATAAGTAAGAGTATCATGCTCACAACATAGCAACACTTTGTTGCTTCTTTTATATTATAACAGCTATACATAAGTGCCATAATATGATGGTTCACTTATGTATAAACCGTAAGCATCATTACGTTCTCGTTAACGCCGTAGCTTAAACGCTAAAATCTATATGCCTTCTGCATGTACATACAAACATATATACACACACATACGGCATGCTATATACTCCCATTCTGCCGATGCTTTTAGTGACAGAATTCTTTATATACACTTTATGTATTTTAAGCTAAGACATTTATTGAATAAAATACGGAGAGCATACGCTGTCCAGAACTCAAACCAAAAGGTACATGTCTTTTAATTAAAAACGTTGTTTACAATATATACTCTATGGGGTCTGCCATCCCTCCTTTTGCCTTCTAGATACATTTCAACAAAATCAGCATACCCATTTTCCCATTTCCCAATTTCAATGGGTTCAAGGTATAAAAACTTCAAAGCGGCATATTTATAATATACAGTACGTATATACCTCTCAGTGCGATAAACCTTAAACCAGTTTTAGCAACATTTTTAAGGGTTTTCAAAAATAAATTTTACAGGACTTTGTTGACAGAGGCATGTTCGTAGAATTTACAGAAATTTGTGTTCAATTTAAAGAAAACTAAGAAAGAGCCGTGAACTTTCGCTGTGTTGACATCTTTGCTTGCATTTTGATGTATCAAAATTACAGGCTACAGTAGCAAATTTGACTTTATTAAGTTCGGAGCAGACTTTTAGATTTACAGACAATGTAATTAAGTAAATTTAGATAATTTTTAAGAAATGCTACTTGGAAAGCAATTATCTTATTATGAATAGGACCGTATCTTTTTCAAGGAGAGGCTTTGGAGTTGGCTCCTTCATAATTTGGTGAGCATTTTGTTCATTTGGTACCTGGGAATTGAGGTTTGTAACAAGCCGAATTAACAGCGAAGAGTATATTCAAACTCTGGATAGTAGTCTCATTCCATATTTAAGGGAATTTCATGAAAAACCAATGGTTTTCCTAAGTAGTATTTGAAGGAATGTCATGTTGATGTCCTTCACTGTCCACCATGTTGTCCAGATCTCAACCTGATACAAAATGTCTGGAGTATTCTTGCAAGACGGGTGTATGCCAATAATCGCCAATTTGGGACAGTTGGAGATCTTAAAAGACAAATTCTAAATGAATGGCAAAGCCTCCAAAAGGACCTTTTATTAAATTTGTTGGTTTCAATGAAGAAGCGAATTTTTAAAGTAACTATTGCAAATAGAGGCCACATTAAATATTAATATTCGTTTTTCCATCAGTCCGGATTTTGTTTTTACCAAATAATGAAATTGAGCTTATAGCTTAGTTCTATTCTTTTTTTTACTTCTTTTTAAGAAATTGTTTTAAAATCGTTAATTTTAAGTGCAATTCATAATTGAAATATAAAACTACTCATTTATCATGATTTTGAGGGAATATGTCATAGGGTAAAATTTTCAGCCAATTTGTTGAAAAATTTCTTTTGCAGACATAAAATCTTAATGAAACTTTCCGAGAGTAATCGTATGGTGAAATATGTGTACATTGTAGTACTTTTTACAAATTGGGTGCGAAGGGGGCATGGTGGCCAAAATCTGTAAAACAAAATCTTTGTATCCATTAACTTTATATACAAAGCAAATTTGAAGTCTCCAGGTCTAAAAGTGTTCAAATAAGGCTGAAAAAACAAAGTCGACTTTTCGATTATTCTCGATAAGAAAGTTATCGGGTGAGTTATCGAAAAAATAAGATTAACTTGTACTGCCTATTGTATGCATGAGTATGCATGCCAAATTGCTCTCTAGCCCTTATATCTTCTGAGATCGACGCACTCATACGGACGGACAGACGGACAGGGTTATATCGATTCATCTCGTCGCCCTGATCAAAAATATACAGTAGAATCCGGTTATAGCGACACTCAAGGGACCGTCGATTTTAAATCGCTATACCCGGCGAACGATTTAACCAGAAAGAGTAAAAAATATTTTTTTAAATTCTTTTTTACGGTTGCCATGTTCGTAATAGCTTTTACTATAAAACAATTTAAATTTGTAATCAAAACAACCATCTTTTAGAAACTTATTTCAATAACATAGTTTAGAAACATTTTTTTGACGTCGGCATTGTACTTTGTCTCTCTCCCTCTCTATGTCTTAGCAGCATTTGTGGCGTTGCTACGCACACAAGCAAGGGTATTGATCACTGACACTAACCAGAGAGCACATAGACTAGTGGAAAGCTTTTTGCACGCTTTTTCTGAGGCTTTAACACCCCAGACAGCTTTGGATTCGCTCGGCTCCTTACTTTTAAGTTCGAGCTACGAAAATATATGAACGCTCAATCATTTCGCTTCATGCGCTCGACCGAGATGGTCAAATGTTGAACAAAAGATCCCTCTATGCTCAATGTTTCCCTTGCTCTCTCTCTCTCTCTCTCTCTCTCTCTCTCTCTCTCTCTCTCTCTCTCTGTCGATACTCTCTGCTCTCTCAAATGTTTATATGTATGTATCAGCTTTTTTCCCGTCAAATCTGGCTTTTTTGAAAAGCCGATCGCGGGAAAAATTCCAAAACAGCGTGCAGCGGGAATTCTGGATTTTTTGAAGAATAATTTGCTTTATTTCCGCTTTTATTTTATTTATTGAAGAAATTTTCGTATTTTGTATATATAATTCGTATGAAGAATGAAGTTTTCTTNCTTGAAAAGTTCGGAATACTCTTCACTCAGAAGGGAAGGCATGGGTTCCTGCTGCGAAGAAATTTCAATTTTCGTGAGCTGCTGCTTGTGCGCACATTCATACATATATATACACATTCGAGAGAGAGAGAGAGCAAGGGAAACATTGAGCATAGAGGGATCTTTTGTTCAACATTTGACCATCTCGGTCGAGCGCATGAAGCGAAATGATTCAGCGTTCGTATATTTTCGCAGCTCGAGCCTAAAAGTAAGGAGCCGAGCGAATCCAAAGCTGTCCGAGGTGTTAAAGCTTCAGAAAAAGCGTGCAAAAAGCTTTCGACTAGTTGTCTAGTCTATGTGCTCTCTGGTTAGTGTCACTAATCAATAAATACATGCATACATTTCTAGCAGAGTCTTTTTATGCTGAAATTTGTTGTCATTATTTCGGATTTTTTTTTTTTTTTTTTTATCACGTCGTGCTAACCAGTGATAGACTCAAAAATATGAAAAAAAATCGTCGGCATAGCGGATTGTCGTTAAAAGCGGAGACGTACTAAGCGGAGGCTCTTTCATATAAGTTTGTATTTGAATTTTCGTCGACATAACCGGTTGGACGCTTTAAGCGGAGTCGTTATAACCGGATTCTACTGTATATACTTTATAGGGTCTGCGATGATTCCTTCTGTCTGTTACATATTTTTCACAAAACCCTTATACCCTGATTTCCCATTTTCAATGGGTTCAGGGTATTACTAGATTTATTGATTCAGCGAATCGATGATTTAGATTTAATAATTTAAAAACATATTTCCACTTACTTCATGGAGCTTTAATGGTATTTCCGTTATGTTTCCTCGCACGTTTATCTGGCGTAGCAATAGGACCATTTTAAGCTCATTAGTGCTGAGACCCATCATTTTAGATAATATGACAATAATTTCTTCATCAGTTTTGGAAAACTCGCATCGTTCACCATCTATATCCATAAATTCGATATTACCCAACCATAATATAGAACTTAAGACCTTAAAAATACAATCTATATCTGACTGTGGAATTTGCAATACAGTAAGAGCCATTGTTAGTTCATTGAATTTCCTTGATTCTAAGTTTATGTCCACTGAAATATCTTCAATGGTATTTAAATATCTGTAAAATTCTGGAGGTCTTAAGCAAAAATTTTCTTGCATTTGCTTGTTTGTTTGTCCTTGCGCTACTAATTGATACATAACGTGATAATTTCGTTCTCCTGGTCCTTGAAATGTTATCCGTGATTGCTCTAGTAAATAATCTTGTATTACGCAACCTTCGATAGTGTGTTTCTCATTGAAGCAGACTTGCATAAATTTTCCAAACCGGGAACTATTGTCGTTACGAATAGTTTTAGCATTGCCTGAAAAAAAAAATCATTTTTATAAAAATAATTTAATTCTGATATTGCAATCATTTTGCAACTCTATAATGCAGTTGAAATTAAATTGTTGGATAAATATGAGCTTTCTTAAGCAAGCTCGAAAGTTTGGCATAAACTCTAAAAGTAAAGCTAGAGGGTTAAAATACTTAAAGTAGACTAAAACAGAACTTCGGAAAATTTATTTTAAATATCACGCCTTCACACCGGACCTTTGTTACCTATTGATTCAATCATGTCATAATTTTTACTAAAATTTTACATCAAGCTTACAGCACATATTTTTATATAAAAACAAGTAAGAAGGCTCTACATATTTTTATATAAAAGCAAGTAAGAAGGCTCAAGTCGACACTGCTCGACTAGGAGATACCCTGAACCCTCCAAGCTGGTATTTTAATCATTCTGCACTTCTTTTATGCACACATACATACACATGTATCCACACGAACGTATAAGTACGCAATCTGCTAACTGCGAAGGGGCGAAGAGGGCGTGGTATTCCTATTGTGCACGCTTTTGCAACAGCAAGCACGCAAAAAACAAGCGAAGGCGTGCACAAAAAAAACCGCAACTCTGCACATAGTATACTTTCAGCTTGTGTGTGTCAAGTATTTTTGCGAGGCGAGCGATCGTACGCATTAAAAACACCGGGGTGTCAAAATCACCCAAGATTTACGTGATGTGCAGGCCTCTCTTAAGCCGCTGATATGCACCGATGTCCTGATCGGTGCCGCTGATGATCCGCAAGGATTCCCTCTGGATGTCCTTGCTTTTCCCACGATGTCCTTGCTGTTCCCACGATGTCCCACGATGGAGCTGCTGGTGGCCTTTTATACCCCAGCCACAGGCCCTGCTTCGTGTGGTAACGGGGCCTGTTCGGCTCTGGAGCGGGGCCTTTTTGTTGGCTCGTGCCCATAAAAACGGTAAAGTGGCGTRATSTGGGTGACGCCACTTTCCCGCCAAATTGCGTGGCAGCCTCCCATTGGCCGAAGTACCGTTGTTGCCATGCTAGTGAAAATGTCCACTGCATCTCGGCCCGAACGGCACCTCGGCTAACGGTCACCG